GTGAGTGAAGTTAGGTAGATGGAAATCTTGGGAGCCGTTAGTGGTTGTGCTAGCACGAACTCACAAGTCATCGTGACCGAGGGTTTGAACGTGCTGGCCTTGTTTAGACTGTTGTTCATTCTCCCAGAAATTGTAACTAAGTTCCGATCAACATAGCTGCGGTATAAACCCACAATGAGCTCTGTGGATAAACACAACTATGCCTGAGCAGCCGTCTGCAATAGGGATTAGCTAGCCGTCCTTGTAGACTGGCATCCTCGGTTACGATTGGCTAAGTCATTTACATGTACGTACGTCTTTGTGTACGTGCGCATGTACGCGCGTTTGTTTTAGACTATTTATGTCTGCGTATGTGGGCGGTTGTTGCTTGTTAAGGAATGCGTCTGTGTGTATTGTGTGTGGGTGTTTATTTATGTTATGGTTGTGTGATGTATGCTTGTATGAATGTGTGTAGGTACATTTGTAAAGGAGTGTGTATTTGTACCGAGTTTCTTTTTGGGCGTTTATTTTTTTGAGCGAGTATGCTTGTTGTGACATTTGTAAATTAGTAAATATATTCGCCTATTTGGGCGGGGGTGTTTATTTGTGTGCGTGTATGCGCTTGTTGTAGTGCGTGTTCATATGCGTGTGTGTGTAAAGTTATGCAACATTTGAGCAGACCCCGGCAAAAAAATGTTCAATGTTTTTGTGCAATCTTTTTTCTTTTTTTTTTACACTTATCTCATTTCCAACTCAACAAGTTTTTTCCATTCATATCTGGCAATTTTTGTTTATTTTCTTCTTCTTTTCAACACACAGACAGACGTGCGTACACACACATAAATATATTATTATTAATACAATAATATTAAGACAGTTTCATCGGCAGCGCAATCGTCAGGCTGATAATATAAAAGAGTTAATTACGGTTCCTTAGCGTTAGCTCAAGTATAAATGAATACAATTCTGAATGAAAGCCCCAAAAAGCTACCAAGTGAAAAGATGGTCTTCTTCAGAAAAGAAGTGACAATCGTCTTATATATAATTAATTAATTCATCGAGTCTCGAAGAAACCTCAACAGAATGCACTGGACGGCCGCTTCGCTCTATATTTGGGACTACATTAGCAATTCGCATCCACTAACAAGAATTGAAACCGGACAGTTACGTTATCAGACAAACGTTATACCAACTGTCCCAACGAGCCTTGGTGACGAAAAGGCAGCAAATCAAACTCGATATAGCCCCGCTCGATCACATATTCCGTGGTGGAACTCATACGAGTTTCTCTTTTACCCATAGGACTGTGCCCCCGCGAGCCGCGACTACTGTCCCCAAGCCGCTCCGTCCAGAGAATTAGAAGCCGGTTCAAGCAAGGATAAACAAGTGATAGAAATTAGGAGGATTTGAGATAAGTATAATTAAGTAATTCATCGAAACCTCAACAGAATGCAGAAAGCACTCGTCCTATATTATAATGATCGTTGCATTCTGTGGAGGTTTCTTCTACACTCGATGAATTACTTAATTATAATTATCTCAAATTCTCTTAATTTCTATCACTCATATATATATATATATATATATATATATATATATATATGTGTGTGTGTGTGTGTGTGTGTGTGTACCGTGAGTAACAGCAAAAGTGTCCAATTGTTAGATTAAGCTTTGAACTATATAAAATCAACCAATTGTATTAATCTGAATATGAGTGCTGCATGCATGAAGCTGAAGATGTAACTATAATTGTTCCTTACCCTCACCTGTGTCCTAGACTCCCTGCGCCCCCAATGTCTGAGTGCACAGTTTATACTGCTATTTCACCATTAGCCAAGGAGAAAAGAGATGGATTCATATCTTTCACAAGAGAATTAGTGTGAAAGTGAACGTAATAGATTTGGTAGAAATTTTAACTCGGCATACCGATTTCTCTTTCTGTGTTATATTAGTAAGAAGTAATATTTTGCGCGTTCAAATCTCTAACCATTGAGTTAAATTTCCGTACTGGTTTGACTTGTGACATCTCAAATTCGTAATTCGCATTTGCTTTTTTTTTTCTCTTGCTGACAACCATATATTGTGTCTTCTTGCAATTGATTGATATTCTTTTCTTCTCGCTTTTCTTTACCTTGTCTCGAAATTGTCCGTCCGCATAATGTAGTTAAAACAAGTATCCGTCAAGTTGTTGAAAACATTTGGTATACATGTGTACTTTGTGGTTATTGTAACTCATACAAATTAACAGTAAAAAAAGAAAAAAAATGTACGCATGAATAGAATAAATCTATTTGTGTACGTGCACTTTTAATGCTTATACAAAAATTTTATGACAATTTGTAACCATTAAAAACGTGTGTTAAGTTTATTTCTGTGTTGCGGTTTACAAGTATCTGAAGTATACTTCTCTATTAACAATCAAGTCTCGCCACCCTTGATTCATATTATTCGATGTCAGTAGTATATTATTTATATACAAGCAAGTCATTTTAATATATTCCTCATTGGACGCTCCCAAAGTTTAATGAACTTTTTTTTCTGTTAATTCACACAATATTACGGCCCAAGAGCTAATGAAAGGGTTACTGAATTAGGTTGTTAGATGAATTTTATTTCAACTACCGTATATTTAACAAGGCGAGTCCTATCTGTAAAGGTCTGAAATAGTGAAACTAAGGAGTAGAGTTCGTCTGAACGATTGTCATGGAAATTGGCGATAGTGAAGCGGGAGGCTTGTGATGTTTAGTCTGTGGGAAAGGGATTGTAGAGTGGAAAATAATTCCTTGCCAACAAGGCCGCCGTGTAAATGCTTTCGAAGATTTGGAAAGTGAGGATTGGGCAGCACCAGCCTAGATGTGGCAGAAAAACTCCATTTTTGATTTGACTGCCGCAAGAATTTACCGCGCGCGCGCACGCACGCACACACACACACACACACACACACACACACACACACACACACACACACACACACACACACACACACACATACACACAGAGGAAGAAAAAAGAAAGAAAAAAAACATGGTGGAGTCAGATGCTTTTCAGGGTAACAAATCTGGTTGTGTATGTAACGTAATGGTTATAAAGAGAAATAGATTTTGACCGAGTCTGTTTCACTTATTTCGCACTAATGCCCTTGGAAAAAGCATGACTCCAATTTCCTTCTGCAATAACTTAATCCATTCATGGCCGACCCCCCCCCCGAAATGATGAATTCGGTTATTTTTAAGTTATGGTTAGAGGTTTCCTTTTTTGCCTCTATTCAAGCAAAATATTAATCATCTATAATTCACACTCATTCATTTCCTTCATCTCATTCTTTTTTATCTTTTCATCAGTTTTCTTTATCTCTTTCGATTTTTGTGTTTTCTTTCACACTCTTCATAATTTTTATTTCCTTCCCCACCTTTTGTTAATTTTTTTCTTTATAAATTCTTTTATTTCCTTCTGTTTTGATACAAGTAATTCTTCACTATTTACATTATTCGGACTATTGTCCTCATCTTTGTCGCCATATTTATTACAACGTTTCAGCCGTCCTATGCTCCGGCCTTCTTCAGGTTGTTGGAATGTCGAACTGAACCCTTTATTTCGTTCACTGGGATAGACTATTCTTTGGCGACAAAGATGATGACTATAGTCCGAATAATGTAAATAGTGTACATAATACCTCATCTCAGAAATATAGACAGACACTGAAAAGCCGAAACGTTGTAATAAATATGGCAACAAAGATGAGGACAATAGTCCGAATAATGTAAATAGTGTACATAATACCTCGTCTCAGAAATATAGATAGATACTGAAGTAATTCTTCATTTTAACATCTTTCATTCTTTTTCTCTTTATTTTTCTTTCTTTATACTCTTTACGTTTTTCTTCTTGTGTTTTATTTTCATCCCATACGTCTTTCTTTCTTCTTATGTATATTTTCATTCAGATTTCTTTCTTTCTTTCTTTCTTTCTTTCTTTCTTTCTTTCTATTTCCTTTCTTTCTTAAGCCGCATCTCCTGAATTACAAATAACCAGCTTTTATTTGGGGGTGAATCAAAACGGCGCTATTCGTCACAAAAAGATCTGAAACACACACACACACACACACACACACACACACACACACACACACACACACACACACACAGAGCGAACGGTGAATTGATAACAAGGCCATGTAGTCCATTATGAGATCCCCTCGCAAAAAAACTGTTTTTCATCGTTTTTCTTTTTAAAAATGTAATTATGGTTTTTAAAAATGTAATTCCTCTAATTAAAAGTTTCTCTTTTAACGAAATCTAGACAATTTTATTTTAAGTTTTTAAAAATGTTTAAATAAGTTTCTCATCGCTTGACGACATGTGTCAGAAAATGTATAAAATTTTATTTCCTACAAAATCTAAGTTCTTGTGCCAGACACAAAATTTAGTAGAAACAGCATGTCAAAATAATAGGTGTAAAGTTAAAAATAAGACAACCACTGCGTAAAATTTCAAAAGGGAAAAACACTTGTACTATATAATATTTCAGAAAAGTTACAATAGAAGGTTGTACAAAAATTTCCTTTCGTGCGACTATTGCGACAGGATATTCATTTTCTGAGGTTACAAAAAGGGAATTACCATCAGATATAAGGAAAAAATGTTACAGTTTTTAGAAAAAGACACTGATTCTGACAAAAAGATTACATCCCTTAAAAATGGAAAAACATTAAGGAAGTAAAAAAAATGCTCAAAGCAGAAAATACAAAATGCAATTGCACCCATCTCAATTTAAAAAAAAAAATACTGAAAGTGACGCCCCAGCACGAAGTGGTTTCGAGTTTTGCACATATTGTTGTCTCGAGAGCTTTTTGCAATACTTTGCTGGAAAGTTAACTTGAATGTTCTTTCGACTTCAATTCTTTCCTAGAAAACACAGAAAGGAATGTTCTGTTCTGGGGTTAGAATCTGACATATCTGTCCACTCTTTCTCCCCCCCCGTTGATTTATGACCTCTCCACTGAACTTTTCAGCGTGGGCGCTATGGCTTCTTTCGCGACCGTTAATTGCTTTCTTGTTAACGGTTCATTCTTTCTGCGTTGATCCGCTAAATAGCAGTTCTTTTATTGAACAAAGGAGCATTATGCCAGATCAATTGAAGTTTTCACAAGGGCTTGAAAAGATCGTCTCTCATTGGCTAGTAAATAGAAACCTTCCATGTATTGAAAAAATGAATCCATAATAAATCAAATAATGTTGGCGGTATCAAACACTTGAGCCCAAAAACGAACCGAAATACACTTCTCTCAAAAAACTTGTATTAAAAAAAAAAAAAAAAAAACAACATAGACGATTATACATTTATACAATTATAACATTTTTAAAATATTGAAAATTAAATTTTTATAAATGGCATTGCACATTGATATATATATATACAATATATACGCCCTTGATATATATATATATATAAATGAATATATATATATATATATATATATATATATATATATATATATATATATATATAGAGAGAGAGAGAGAGAGAGAGAGATTTGGAAAAGTGAAAATTCATAATGCAAGTTTTTCGACTAAAAGTCCTTTAAATAGGCAAGTCTTTGATTTCAGCCGCACGCAATAAAAACATCATCACTTCAGTCGAGAAAGTTTGGTGGCTGGAAAGCAGGCAAAATAACTTCTGCTTTTCGGCAGCTTTCTCTCTGGAAAGCAAGCTAAAGAATTTCTGCTTTTCGGTGGCTTTCTCTCTGCGACCTCTCGCCAATTTATTATTCTATCTCTCTTTTTCATCCGCCGAATTTGAAGGGAATGATAAAACAGATAAGGCTAAAGCCACGGCGTTTTGTAACGAAAGCAAAAGAATTTCTGCTTTTAGATCACTGTCTCTCTTTCACCCACACACTATTAGGTTCTACTTCTCGTGCTTCCTATTAAAATGGTTAGTAAATTCATTGCTTTTACTTACGTCGCTTTCTTCGCTAAGCAACAAGCGCTTTCTCTACTTACACTCCCTAAATAATATCGCTTGTAACAATTATCTTAGAAATGAAGAAATGGGAAAGAAAAAATGCAAGTATAAAGAGCATAGTAAAAATAATTAATAATAATAAATTTTATATTATACTAGCAGTAGATCCCGGCGTTGCCCGGGGATGTAACAGTAAGAGATAGATCAAGTATCGACCATCATAAAGACTGAAAAATAAAATTGACAAAGATCATTGTTTAAGGTTGACGGACACGCATGTCTGAATTTTTTTTTTTTTTTTACGAATTGGTCAAACCCAAACTCAAACAAAAACATTGTTTACAATCGTTATGAGTATCGATTGGTGAATAGAATTTTATTATAAACAGTTGTCTTGTAAATGGAATTTTTAAAGCATTCTGAATTTAAATAAAGAAAAAAGTGTGCAAGACAATAAGAAATACTACCTGCAAAAAAAAAAAGTGGATGTTTGTTTTATCGGCTGAAAAATGTAAGAAATCCGATCCCATATATAAAGAACACACACACACACACACACACACACACACACACACACACAACCTGGGTTTTTTAACCTAAGTCACTCCACGGAATCGCTAAAACATAGAGCATAGTCTGATGAAAAAGACGCTAAAGTTTATGAAAACAAAATTTTATCGTCAAAATGCTTATGTTTTTATGTTTTTAAAATTTTTCCATCTTTTTAGAATATTCTAAATTTTGATTTAAAAAACCTTGTTTCTCTTTGTCGCAACAAGGGGTAGTAAATAACATAGATAATTTTTAGCGCGTCTTTTTGTATTTACACACATTAATTTGGAAAATCTTGCAAAAATAAAAATAATTGTCAGATGTTAATTAAACTTTCAGAAACTATTCACAGATGATCGAAATTATTATAAATATGTTTTTTTTTTTTAAAGTCACGACAGAAATATTTTTTTTTATTTTATTAACACCCCATAACTAATTTTTTGAAAAACTCTAGAAATTCAGAGACCATCGGTTTTAGTGATTACAATAGTTAAAAGCACAAGGCTTTGAAGAATGCAAATCATGTTTTTTTTTTTTTGGCCAACGTACCTGAAAATCAGCTGTGAATTGTAACATATAAAAACTCAATAAAACAAATATATTATTTAGTTTCAAATGCTTTTATTTGTTTTAATTTGTTTTTTTATGAATATGGACAATATTTTCTGAAAAAGCAAAAATTTTTTCAATGAAAATTGAATTTTTAATACAATTATTTCTTATTTCTTTAATTTTAAAAAGATTTTAAAAAAATGTTTAAATTGAATTTTAAAACATATTTTAACATTAGTTAAATGCAACATCAACCTTTCAAAATGTCCGTGTGAGATTGTCATTGTCTAGCGCTTTGAAAATTGTATAATTTGGACCAATCAGATTAGCCATGGTAATTAAGAAATGTAATTTTTGTGTTTATAGTCGGACAGTAATTATCAAGTACGGAAGACCAACAGAATACAATTTAGTTGCATTATTTGAGTTCAGCATTGTTCTCCGCTGTTAAGCCCTTTACTTTTGCGAAACACGTATGGAGAAGTTAATTTGAGTTTTCAATTTCAACTGAGAAGGGTACCTACAAGTAACAGTATCATCTTATGAAATTTAACTACTGCTAAACTTTAATTTATATGATCTTATTTTTATATTAATCTCAGTTATGACATTTTTCCATAAATGAAATATCAAAATTAATAATAAAATGAATGGAAATACAAATAACACAGTAAAATGTAATAAATGTACATAAAATTATAGTATTTTATGTACACTTCTGATAAAATTTCATAAGAAAAGTACCTAAATTAATTAGATACCTTTTTCTTATGAAATTTAATCTCACTATTAACAGTCTTATTTTTTAATTTCTTTATATTTTCCATAAAGCATCGTAAACGTAAAAATGAAAGCTAAGTACAAAAAAAAAATAAATAAAAAAAAATAAAAAATAAAAAATTAGAGCGCTGAAAGTTTTCCTTAAAAGTAACGAGGTAAATAATTTGTTCACTTAAATAATTTCACTTACTTCCATCCGTAGAAAGAATTACCCTCCCGTAAGTTATCTAAACGTCATGACGACTGACGAAAGGCACTTTCGTCAATCGTCAAGCGACGCGAAAGGTTATGACATGCTTTGTTTTATTTTCAAATTACATTTTTTCGGCGCAGAAGCTAAGTTAAGCATGGTTCAAAATATTTTAAAATAAACAGTATAATATCTGTTTTTATTAAAATCATTTTTAAAAAAATGAAAATTATTTTTTAAAGAATTTCAAAGTTAGATTTTAATCTTTTTTTACAAAACGAAAAAAATGATTGAAAATGTTTATCTGTCCTTTTTTTTTACCAAAAAAAACAATATTTTAACGAAAATTTCAGACGTGCAAGGAACGATTAAAAATGTAAAAAAATACCCCCAAAATACTTTTGATCTTTCCTCTTTAATAATAATATGAACATTAGACGATAAAATTTTGTTTTCGTCAAGTTCGGCGTCTTTTTTCATCATGCTATGCTCTTTTGTTTACATTTTCGTGGGTGAGTTGTCCTCCTTTCATTCTCACGATGTGTCTTAATCGTGTTTTCAAATCGATTTTCTTAAAAAACAACTGTGTTTTTCCCATTTTCGGCGCCGTTAGAACCACCAAAAGGTAATTTTATGTAGTCCTGTAAGTTTTGTTGAAATCGGCTAAAAAAAAGGTAGGAAATTCGATCCAACATATAAACATTACAGACACACACACACACAACCTGCGTTTTATAATAAGTAAGATCTGATTCGCGCTAGTGGTGTATATTTATTAATATATATATATATATAAATATATATATATATATATATATGCTCTGTTTCATTATATTGAGCACTGTTTCGTTAACACCTGCACTATATGTACGATATGTTGTAATTTTATTACGATATATCCATCTTTCTCTCTCTCTTTATCTCTCTCTCTATATATATATATACCTCATTATATTGAATTGCGTCATGATGCTCTTGTTCTTACAGACGGTGCCCAACTGACCCCTGCTATAATGTCGACAAAATCAAAAAAAAAAAAAACCAAAAATCGCATGGGTGAAATTAAAAATATAAAATGGCGTCAATTTACACATAACACCCAGAATTTATCACATGTAAATTGATTTATCATATATTTGAAGAAGGAGAAGAAAAAAAAAAAAAAAGTATAAGCCAAATACAATTCAAAAAGTTCTCTCTGAGACCTGACCCTCAAAATATTGGCAATGCATTTCCATTTTTGAAGATCAAAGTTGACTGGGAAGCAAGAAGCCAGAAAAATTTTCCACAAGGGAAAAATACGAGAGAAGAAACTGTTAACATAGAACTTACGGTTACATCTTGCCATTTCAACTGTAATTTGATGAGACCTAGCTACCAATCTAGTACTGCGCTTAAATTCATATAGCCTAGGTACCATAGAGGTAGTCAGATCAAAACAATAACCATGAAAGTATTTATAGAAAAGGCACGTTACGGCGGTGGGAATGAGAGTGAAGACGAGATGCCAGGTCTGGACCAACGACATTACAATTCTTGGATTTTATCATCTTTAAAACGACTGTTCCTGAGTTTCCCACCTCAGTTAAGGAATAAACAAGAATCACACGACGCAAGATCTGAACTGTCAACAGAAAATTTTATTGCATAGCGAACTTCAAAATTGTCTTCACGTCCTGACTGCATCCCGCTTCTGAAAAAAAAAAAAAGTCTAGAAACTTCTGTAATGAACCTCGTAGAAATGCAGGAAAAACAGATAGCTGAACTGAATTATGAACATTAAAAGAACAGGAATTAAGAAGACGGCAAATAAGGATTAACATTGAATTTAAATTTTAAATCAAACTTGACTGGAAAACAAAAAGCCAGAAGAGAATTTCACAAACTAGAAATGCGAAAGATTAAACTGCTAGCATGGAGCCATTTCAACAGCCGTCAATATAGTAGCACACTTAAATTAATAAAGCCTATGTACCATAGATAAAAACTCATCAGAATTGTTTCCATAAAAATATTTATAGAAAAGGCACAAAGAAGCTAAGTTATGGTTGTGGTTTAGTGAATGAATCCGAGATGCCAGCTCAGGACTAACAACATTGCAGATTCTACTTTTTACTTTATCAAGAATCTCTAAATACATAACAAAAAAAAAACATATCAGATGTGACTGCAATATTCAATGCAAAGACGAATGGTAGACATTAATGTGTAAGATAGATTCTGGCGAGAAAAAATTGTCTAGCCCGATACAGTGAACCAACCTTCCTAGCAGTAGATCTAGCAATTGATTTAATATCATTTTTATCATGTGAGCGGAAAACATTATCCCGAGAAGGCACAAGGAGTCACACTCCTGGAGGTGAATATCAGACATACTGAAGGAAGGAGAAAGAAAAATTCTCTCAGACGATTAAAAGAGGGCTGTTTCGTTCTGGATTTAACAAGCCATTTGCTGCCCCAGTTGACAACAGATTATAGGTCATTTGTAGACTAGCTGACAATTTGACCTTATCGGACTAACCAAGAGTCAACAGTGTGTGTCAGCAGCATAGATACCGAGGGGAAACCTGATGATATCTGGATGGTTGTTGATGAAAATTGAAAACAACGTAAATCCAAAGATAGAGCCCTCAAGGGCACCTACATTAATGGTTATATATATGTAAGTAATTCATCGAGTCTGAAACCTCAACAGAAAGCACTGAACGGCCGTTTCGTCCTATATTTGGGACTCGTCAGCAGTGCGCATCCACTACCGAGAATTGAAACCCTGACAGTTAGGTTGTCAAGCAAACATCATACCAACTGTTCCACGGTGACGAAGAGACTGCAAATCAGACTTAATATAGCGCCGCTAGCTCACATATTCCGTGGTGGAACTCTACTGATATTCTCTCTAACCATAGGACTGTGCCCCCTAATTATTTCTAACATGTGTATATCATTGCTTGAACCGGCTTCTAATGCTCTAGAGTCAGCGGCTTGCTGATAGTAGTCGTGGCTACAGGGGGCACAGTGATAATATTAGTAGTCAGCATATATCTATGTGTCCAAGAGGATAGAATCTAAATATAGCTCTATGTCATTGACAGAGCAAAAATATAATATAAAAGGCTTTAACAATAATATTTCATGGTTATAATTTATTACAATCGAATCATAATCATGACCGAATTAATCAGATTAATTGGGTCTTAATTTCCATTCCAATGTAATCAATAGTAGTGTTTGAAATTTATATATGAGCTTTCGTTTTTTGTCTTTATCTTGCTTTCTTCTTTCCTTTGACATTTGATTCTAATTTCCTTTCGTTCCTTCTTTCGGTTTTTTGTCGTTATCTTTCTTCATTGTCCGTGGCTTCTAATACCCTCTCTTTCCTCCATTCGTCTTTGTCTTTCTTTCTTCATTACTTTGTATGTTGCTTCTAATACGCTCTCATCCTCTTTCCATTCTTTCGACTTTATCTCACTTCCTTCTTTTATTTGCCTTTTGATTCTACGTCCCTATCTTTCCTCTTTTTGTTTTGTGTCTTTATCTTTATTTCTTTTCTTTGTCCGTTGCTTTTAATTACTTCTCATTTCTCCTTTCGTTTTTTGCATTCATCTTTCGTTCTTCTTTTTTCATGTGCGTTGCTTCTAAGTCCCTCTCATTATTCTTTGCGTTTTTTTTTTGTCTTTCTTTCTTTGTCCTTTGATTCTATATCCCTGTCTAACCTCATTTCGTTTTTTTGTCTGTATCTTTCTTCTTGTCTTTGACTGTTCATTCAAATTCCCTCAGATTACTCCATTCGTTTTTTGTCTTCATATTTCGTTCTTTTTTTCTTTGTTCCTTCTAACTCCTTGTCATTCCTCCTTTCGTTTTTTGTCTTTATCTTTATTTTTGCTATTTTTATCCGTTGTTTCAAATTCCCTCTCATTCCGCCTTGCGTTTTGTTTTGTCTTCATCTTACTTTCGTCTTTTCATTGTCCGTTCATTCTAATTCCCTCTCATTTCTCCTTTCGTTTCTTAGTCTGCATCTTTCTTTCGTCTTTTCTTTGTCCGTTGATTCTAATTCACTCTCATTTCTTCTTCATTTTTTTATGTCTGCATCTTTCTTTCTTCTTTTCCTTGTCC